AGAAATTTAACCTTTTCTGTGTGTTGACGTTTACGACCAACCCTGGCTCTGGTATCTCTCTTAAGGAATGGGAGGCTCCAGCTATCTTGGTAAACCAGTTCAACTCGGTCACAAAATGGTTTACGGCTGTGGGAACGCTGGCTTCGAGGCCATTAAGGGTCAGACGCAAGTGATTCAGGGTGCCCAGCTGTTTAGTCTATCTCCCCAAATATGTTGTTTACTCTCTCTGAACTAGTTAAAAGGTCTATCGAGAGAGAGGCGCGGCAGATTTGGCATGGCAACCCACCAGGGCAGTCAGAATCTCTGGCTGTGTGACTTGTGATGTGAATTTCTCCGGCCGATACTTGTAAATAAACATTCAGTGTTTGACATCAAAGCTCCAACTCTCCTCGTGTCTCTCTGAGTCCTGACTCTCCATTGCTGCAGAAGTTTCCCTTACAGTTATATCATGTTGTAAAGTCATTATTATAATTTGTTAAGTAATCATTGGATAATCACATCTGCTGGGAAAGAAACATAACCTTTAACATTCCAGGAAAATAAAATGATATGAATCGCATAATAACATTTAAATTATAATTTGATGCAGAGTGATTACAACCTTTGTGGGATAAAGAATTACTGTTATAACTTGTCCATTGATCCCAGTTAACACTATAAAACCATTGGAGGATGACATTGTGTGCACTCAGGGGTCTGTCTGTCCTATAACGGGAGTACTGAGGCTCTGGAAAGTCAATTGTTTTCTTTGTTTAGTTTTATTCAACACTACCTTAATTGTAACTACTTTTTTTATGGCACATTTCCTTTCTTGTGCCATTGTATTTGCACACTGCACTAAACCTGCCCGAGTATAAAAAAGGATTCAAATTGCTTAAAATAAACAATAATAATAATACATTTTATTTTTAGGCGCCTTTCATGACACCCAAGGACACCGTACAATTTGTTAAAAAATAAAGAAAATGCTAATAGGCAATAAAAACACAAACAGGAAATCATGGGGGGCACAAGTGGACTTTAGTTTCATGAGGCACTTTCATATTGATCTTCAATACCAGTCACTACATTCACATGTTCACCAGCAGGCGTGAGAAATGATAAACATCTCTCAGGGCCAGATTTACATAAACAAGTTCACGCCTTTCATTTAATTTGCCTGCACGGTCTGAAATTAGCGTTTCATCTATGAAGGCAGCGGATAATTACAAAATCAGCGACTTGCAATTACTCTCAGTGGCAATTTGTACCTGAAAACACAAGTTAAAAATGTTCAGATGAATGGAAAATGGTACGACTAACCTGACACTAAATCAGATTTTTCTCAAAGCTATTGATATATGAAGTTGCAGATATACAAGCTGACATTGATCTGTTAAAACTTGTGTTGCAACACTACTACAAACACCTAGGTGTGGGTGTGTGTTCTTGCATTAATTGTCACTTAAAATCCTAAACTGTGTGAATTTTCCCATCTCTTTTTCTTGTACTTGAACACATCGCTGCAGCTCCTCTACCCTCTGTACATAAATCAATACAATTATGTCGGCTACTGTATCGATCTGTTACAATGTTCACACACACACACACACACACACACACACACACACACACACACACACACACACACACACACACACACACACACACACACACACACACACACACACACACACCTTGTTGTTAAATACCAACTATGTGCAATATTTATATATATGCCGTTAAAAACTGTGCAATATACACCTGGCTGCTAAATCCTCAGAGCTGTAACAGGATGTGTATTTTGTAAATTGTGTAACTTTTTTTTATTATAATTTTTGTATCTTTAATACTTTTTTAAGCATGCTTCTTAGGTCACCTTAAGCTGCTCCTTTCTGCTGTAACAATGCACATTTCCCCCAATCTGTGGGACTAATAAAGGGATTCTGATTCTGATAAAGCAAATAGCACGGATACCGACTGTGTTTTTACATTTCCCTCTTTATCATAAACTGGGCATTCAATTGGAAAACATTTTGGACGGATGAAAAGCTTTCTCATCAAAATGCAATCTCATGCAAAAATAATCAACGCGAGTGAAAAGCAGAGGCCAAGAAGTCTTGGCTGACAGCGTCACTGTCGGAGAGAGGAGAGCTTTTCATTGAAATGAATAGCTTCTAAATGCAGCCGCTGTGCTCCCGCTGTACACCGTCTGCAGATCACAGCCTCCACTTTCAGCAAGGTCAACAAAGAGCTTCCAATAAATATCATCTCAGTTATTTTTTAACCATTACTCAGAGCATTTTTCTCCTTTGAAGTGAGGCTTTTTTGTAATCGATGCAAGTTATTACGGGTGACTCTCTCTGATTTTGAATTAGAAAACACATTTACTGAGGTTTACCAGCTCATGCAGCGAGCAGGACAGACTATACTATCATTTATATTTCTTTATACAAATATACCTGTTTTGATCACTGCATAGATATAATAATACTCAGTACTGCTGTACCTTGCTGAGTTTGGCCTCGTACTCCTCCACCAGTCTCTTCTTGTCCTGTTTGAGCTCCTCCACCCGCTCCGTCAGGGAGTCCACCTGAGAGGAAGAGGAAGACATACTTATTATCCTAGGGATATTTCTCTCTCCACTTTGATTAAGAAAAAAATAAATCATAACTGTATTAGTAATAATAAAAACGAAAACATTAACATATTGTAAGGAACTGAGAGGCAGAGTAGTGGGAGGCACCTACATTCCCAATAGGTGGCTCCACCCTCTTCCAATTAACAGTATTGGGAGCAGGTGTGGAGACCTCACACCTGGTGCTAATCACTCCCTCAAGGGAGACAAAGCACACAGAGTTGCTCAGTTGTGTGTGGCACATGGAGGGAGCAGGAGGCTCCCAGTGTATGGAAACGTTTTTGTAAGCTGGTAAGTCGGTTAGCGGCCCGGCTACGTTAGCCTTTGTATAGTTAAAGGTATTTTTGAGTTTAACAGCAATAAAGCCTCTTTTTTGGACTTGAACACTGCCTCTGTCGTGATTGCTACACTACCACTTGTCTCTTTATCTGCCCAGTCCTGTTACAATATTTAAAGTTAATTTAAGCTGATTAAATGTTAGTGATTTGCATAGGAGACAAAGATATGTCCACATGTCTTCCAGGTGCCACCACTTCACTTTCATTTATGCTCATATATATATAAAGATACTGTATATACACTTTGGATCAGTTATTGCTTCACCTCGGCTTTGTGCAGCTGCACCAGTTTCTCCTGGTCCTTGCTGTAGTCAGCGTTCTGGGTCTGGTGGCTGCGCAGGAGCTCCTGGACCTCCTGCCGGTGCTGGCCCTTCAGCTCCTCCAGAGCCGCCTTCTTCTCCTGCTCAAACTGCGTCTGCGCCGAGCCGAACGTCCGCAGCTTCTCCTCGAAGGACCGCCGCATCTCCTCCACCTCCCGGGACATGGACACCACCCGCTGCGTGTGCTGAGGGAGGGACGGGAATATGACAATCATATTTAAATACAAAATTGTCATCTATCCCACAGATGGTATTTGGCAAAACGGCTTTAGTGAACTTGGTGTAGTATAAAGGACATGAAAGGACTGAACAGGCGAACAACTTATTAGACATTTTAAGTAATGTCATGTGTTTTCTACTTAAAGATCTGAACACCATAAAGTAATAACTGATTAAGTATTTTTTAACGCTGGCAAAATAGGAAAATGGGGGGGGGTGTGACGCTCGTGAACTGTTAGCGCCGGTGACATGCATGCCCACTGCACCTCGCGGGAGCGCGCCGCAGCGTAAAGCACTCACAGACATTTCAATGATCTGTGCGGCAAAGTTAGGTTTGGAAACTATATCATCTCCTTTTTGGAGGGCATGCATAACACAGCATAACACCGAAGCTTTGGCGCTGTTCTGAGTTTGTTCTAATCTGTCAAAATGACGGACTGCTTTCAGATTTTTCCGTCATTGTTAAAAGAAAATGGTCATAGACGGAAAATATTCGGTTAACGCGACCTCAAATACAACAAAAATCATCCAGCCTTAAATGCACAAACATCCTCTTCTGTTTATTCATATCCACAATTTGTTCTTATTTTGTTAGTAGAATAGAAGAGAAGTAAGATCAAAACTATCCACACATTTTTGTTCCAAACAAATGAAACGTTACATTTTTTAGGGTCATAAACATGTATGCATAATATCATAATAAAATTGGGATTATTATATTTTGTTAAGTTATTATGTTGTATGTATTGTTATTGTGAGGGAATATTTCTGTCTTTACTTCTAGATATTTAACCTGTCTGCCTGTTGACGTTTACGACCAACCCTGAGATTGTTATCTCCCGTAAGGAATGTGATGTTATTCTCAGTCTTACTATCGGTCATAGAGGGTTTTATGACTGTGAGAACGCTGGCTTTCTAAGCCCCTGATACCTCATTCACACCAACGCAACTCCGGTTCAAGCTCCGTGCTAGAGCTTTTCCGGTTCAGAACCGGTTCTTCGGTTTAGCTCCGGCTCTTTTCACACTGCCCAGAGTCCGACTGGTGCTGCGTCATTGCGTCATCGTTTGCGTCATGACGTAACCGTTTGCGTGCCTGCTTCATAAAGCCAAACCGTGCGGAAACCCCTCACAGCTGACACCGACAACAACAACAATGGCCGACTGTGCTCCAGCTTCCTCTGTACCTCTTCAGAAGACCAGATTCCCAGTAGGTAGCTGGTCTCTTCAGTGGACCACTGCTGCTTGTTAAGTTTCTCCATCGTTGTGTACAAACTGGATAAAACGCCGGCTTTTTGTTGTTGTTCAGGAGTTGATCCCACCCCTGTCCCTGCCCCCGCCTTGACGTAAGCATGACGTATGTGGTGCTTTTGCTCTGGCCGGACAATTTTTTGGTGCTTGAAACAAACCAGATTCCGGAGCTAAGAGGCTGCTCCGCTGCGGTGTGAACAGGAAAACCCAGTGCTTTTAAAGCTCCAGCTCCGAACCGGCCCTGAAACACCGTTGGTGTGAATGAGGTAACAGACAGGTGATTGAGTATTTCCAGATGTCGGGGATATCTCCAGTGTTCCCAGTGTTTACGCACCATCCCCCAATATGTGGATTAACTCTCTGTAAACCAGTTAAAAGGTCTATCGAGAGATAGGCTGGGCAGATTTGACATGGCAACCCACCAGGGCAGTCAGAATCTCTGGCTGTGTGACTTGTGATGTGAATTTCTCCGGCCGATACTTGTAAATAAACATCAGTGTTTGACATCAAAGCTCCAACTCTCCTCGTGTCTCTCTGAGTCCTGACTCTCCATTGCTCCAGAAGTTTGTCTTACAAGAGGGTGTAGCAGGAGGTGGAGATGGCGTCAGGAGAACCTTTCTTTTTTGTGTCATTGTTCAAGGTTGTTTGGCTATTACTGACACAAAATCTGTCCACAGACACTCAGGCCGTATATGGCCTGATGTATCTTCTTCCTCTGGGCCATAGAACTCCATTGTTGTCACCAAAGTATTAAAACACACCACTGAGCCACACTGTTGTTGTGCACATGCTGTGTGACATGTATCTTTATTTCCACAACACACACACTGTAGCTTAGGTCTTGGTGAACCCTAGGCTAATGAATTGTTATTACTATAATTCTTGCTAAAGAGAACACAAGCGAGTAAAATGTCTTAGATCCTATAGTATGCTAGTATCCATACCAGCTTCTGGTTTGAAGAACTCTGTCATTGTTCTAGGTGTAATGAAGACAGTGGAATCTCAATGGTGCCAGTGTTTCCCCTAGGTTTGAAACACAAAAATGTTTCAAACAGCGAATCAAGCAAAAATAGTGTGGGATCCTCGGTGCAAGCCGAAGGGACTATTCAGTGAACATTTATATTTCCGCAGCATTTGCAATAAACATGAACAGTTAGAACTTCTCCTCCTCGAGTCCAATATTGACTGTTTGGGAATATCTGAATCTTGGCTAAAACAGTAGTCACCATCTTCTATTGTATCTATGTCAGGATATAATGTGTTTAGGAAGGACAGACTGAAGGGAAAAGGAGGGGGTGTGTTGCTTTATGAGTGGAATACCATTACTTGTAGGGAGATTGCTCTTCCAGCTAATGTTGTGTTGGTGTGGAAATCACACTATCTGAGGAAATGTCCCTCATGATTTGCCTATATCGACCAACACCGCTAAGGTGGATTTCTATGACCAGGTAAAACTCATGCTAAAGGTAAGGTAAGGTAACGGTAAAAAAGTTTGGCAAATCTTAAATAAACTATTAGGTAAACATACCAAACAGGAAAAATAATGTACTAGAATTAAAAATCAATGATGCCCTGATAAAAGACCCTGCAGTGTTGGCCAACTCTCTTTCATAAATAGTGTTCTGGACATTACAAAGCTCTTCCCGCCATCTGAGGTCTCACATAGCCCGATTGTGGATACACACCCCGTTTTTGACCTGGAGGAAATCACAGAGGTTGAGGTAAAA